GGCCAATTGCGACAGTTATAAACTTAAACAGTTTTTTTTTATTCTTTTATTACGAAAACAATGGTACATAAGAAGAAAAAACGTTTAAAACTCGAAAACAAGTAGGCCTATGTAAAATTAAAAATAACAAAAGCAAATTTTGAACTAATTGTAGTTCAACCGTTTTACCAGATTGTTTTAAAAGATATATTTATTTATATGAATCAAAATACGACAATTCAATAACAGGAAGCATGATTAATTTTTTATAACCGCAGAAGCACTTTACATAGAAATGGCAAAAAATGGCAAAAAGGAGGGAAAAGTCAAAAGGTCGGGTTGAGATGGGATGTTGGTGTCCGAGTGGATCGAAGTCACGATAGCTCAAGTGGTAGAGAAGCGGCGTATCTAGCCGAAGATCATGGGTTCGAATCCCGCTCGTGCCATTAACTTTTTTATCTCAACTAAAAACCTTAATTAATTGAAAAACTTTACATAGAGTTGAAAACTGTTTTTATAAAAATAATATTATGTCAGTCCCAGAGAAGTGTCTACGTAGAGATTAAATATGTATTTAGAAATCGTGAGATGTGGTCTGATGTGATGTAGGTTTCAGAAAAACATTTTCTTTATCGTGCCAGCGTTTCGATCTTTATTGAGATCATTTTCAGGGCTCAAAGTGTTTGTCTTCTGTGTCATTGTGCCATTCTTGCGTGTCGTGTCGAGAGTGTTTGATTGAATATATAAAAAATATATTTTGCATTGTATAAATTCACTTTTCCACATCCAAAATGTAATGGAAATGATAAATGATGGAGTGAGTGTGGTGTTCAATACTTTTTAAAAGGATAGTTCCTACTCACAGTAAGTTGTTTTTGCAACGATCCGGATTTCGAGCCTTTTTGCTCATCATCAGATTGTAGAAGTCCTTCAACCTGATGATGAGCAAAAAGCTCGAAATCCAGATCGTTGCAAAAACAACTTACTGTGAGTAGGAACTATCCTTCCAAAATGTAATTGTTATATGTAAACAATGTTTGTAAATCCCAGGCCGTGAAGATGATCTCAATAAAGATCGAAACGTTGGCACGATAAAGAAAACGTTTTTCTGAAACCTACATCACACCAGCCCGCATCACACGATTTCTAAATAAATATCGATTAACGGTCACTAATCACCACACATTTCTTCACGTAGATATTAAAACTTATAAGTGAGAACTAACGGACCTGACAGTAGTAGAGATTACATGTCTCTAAAAGTCCTATAAACTAAAACAAAAACTAACATATATGTAAGTATGTAGTTTGGTCGTTTCGGATTATTCTTATCTGCCTGCCCTCTGTTTACATTAATTTACTGTAATGAATGTAATTTATTAGCGTGAATTAAAACAGTCGTTTAATTCCGCCACATGGAATAACGACAACTCTGGCGGAGTAAATGTGTCTAGAATTCTGTTCATATTGGGTTTTTTGTTTACGTTAATTTATTAGAAAGAATATAATTTATTAGCGTGAACTGAAACCCCGCTCGTTTAAGCCCGCCCCGAAGAACATAGAGTACTCAAGGGGAGTGAATGTGACGAAATTTCTGCCTATATTGAGTGTAGTGTTAATTCATTGAAATGGACATAATTTATTAGCGAGAAGGGAATTGACCGTTTAAACCCTCCTCTTCGGAAAATCGGGTACTCTAGGTGAGTAAATGTGATCAGATTTCTGTTTCTATTGGTTGGTGAATTATACATATGTATTGCATGTTTTGTGTCTATTATGTAGTTGACAACCTGAGTTCCAAATAAGTGGCTAGCTTTTAGGATATCGACTTAGTTTTAAATGAAAGGCAGAGGAGTCAGTAACAGCTTCAGGTTGAAAAATTTGCTGATAAATATTATTAAATGAAATACATACACTAAAAGTTCCAGAATTTTCCCTTATTAATGAACTTTCAATTAGCGTCACCTCGCGAATGAAAAGTGAGCCATTGTCGTAACAGTGTAAAATGAAAATGGTCCGATTATTCGAATGGAATAATAAGATTTTGACGAAATTGGCTTTCGCCCAGTGAAACTTTTGTAGTCTATTTTCTGAGAAAACTTAATTTCGCCTCCCAATTAGGAAAGAAATTGTTCAGTTAACTAATAAAACATGGATGGCAAAGAGGAAAGAAATTATTGCGGAATAAAGAAATTAGTGGGTCGTTCGATAAAAATGTACAATGTTCTTTTTGACAATAACTAGATCGTTTCTATTATGACAAAAATTACTCATCTTTTATAACGATAAGTGGGTTGTGAAAGACATGATAGGTTTTAATTATCAGCTTTCGTGAAGATATACTTCATTTAACTTATTAACTTCACTAGTTTTCGTGGTCCGCTTGACCAATTAATAATATATTAATTATTAATTAAGGTTTTTAGTTGAGATTAAAAAAATAGTGTCACGAGCGGGATTCGAGTCCACGACCTTCGGCTAAATACACCGCTACCCTACCACTTGAGCTGTCGTGACTTCGATCCACTCGGACACTAACTTCCCATTTCAAACCCACCTTTTGAATTTTCCCTCCTTTTTGCTGTTTTTCAAATAGATTACACGAATTTGATCATCCAAGTAAAACCCAGTAGCGATCTTGGTGGGATGAAGTTATGATCTTGATATTTGTGTTCTTGTGTTGGCTTTTTGCGCTCTTTTTACTTAATCACTAGTCGGCAAAGAAGTCTAGGTGTTCTGATATTGCTTGTGTTGCTAGTGCTAACAACAAGTTGGAATATGTGAATAGGATGGCAGTGCCATCAGTGTAGGTTGTAATCAAAGGTGTTACATGTAATGGTACTTTTTTTCGTCATTTAGCAGCATAATAGAAGAATAGAATATACAATTAGAATTGGAAACGAATAAATCCAATTATTTAATATTAGATGAAGTTTGTACAAATTGAATATTCAGCAATCGTGAGATGCGGTCTGGTGTGATGTAGGTTTCAGAAAAATATTTTCTTTATCTGCCAACGTTTCGATCTTTATTGAAATCATCTTCAGGGCCTGGGATTTACAAACATCGTCTAAATTTAACAAATACATGTAGGATGTGGAAAAAAGTGAATTTAAACAATGCAAAATATATTATTTTTATATATTCAATCAAAGTATTTCTACTCACTCAAAGTGTTTGTTTTCTGTGTAATTGTGCCATTCTTGCGTCGTGTTGAGAGTGCCCGAGAGATATTGCTGTTTTATGTTTATATACGTTGGATTTTGAAGGGGAGGGAACTCGGTATAGAAAGACATTTTTGTATGAGTCGGCTTTTTGAGGTGAAAAGGGTAGACGATGGGAAAAAACGTTGGTAATGGTTCGGCCAGATTATCCTTTCAGGGGATTATAGAAGGGGATAAATAGGAAATGGAAAGCTAAATTGTTCGAAACTTAGACTATGTAAAATGTTTGAAGTGTGGAATGTAATGAATGTTTTATATGTTATATTATATGTTTTTTGTGATGTGATGATGATATATGTATGTTATTGATATTGAATTTGATTAATGATATTGGCGTTGCTGCGACTGAGTTTACATGTGTCTGTTCTGTAATTGATGCTGTGTTCACTTCTGTTGATGTAAACCATTTCTAAACAGTTAGGTTTATATTGTTATGTTTGTTTAGTTCTGTGTGTAATATTTTTGGATTGTTTAAGTCTCTAAACACGACACGCAAGAATGGTACAATTACACAGAAAACCAACACTTTGAGTATGTAGAAATACTTTGATTGGATAAAAAAAAAAATTTTTTTTGCATTGTATAAACTCACTTTTTTCCACATCCTACATGTTTTTGTTAAAATTAAACGATGTTTCTAAATCCCAGGCCCTGAAGATGAACTCAATAAAGATCGAAACGTTGGCACGATAAAGAAAATGTTTTTCTAAAACCTACCTCACACCAGACCGCATCTCACGATTTCTGAATAATCATCGACTAACGGTCACTAATCACCACACATTTGTACAAATTCTAGATCGATCAAATCGTAATTTATTTCTATATCTTAGTTTTTATTTCAATTTAAACCGTTATAAATCGTGCAATTTTCTTTTTTCTTTCAGGTTCAAATTATCGAGTTTCTAGACATTTATGTTATTAAACTTTTATAATTTACCTAATTCATTTCCTTTCTGGGTGCTATAAACCTCAAAATAACCATTGCGCTTTCTTGGATAATTTTAAATTATTTATTGAGACTTGAAAATTAGACTTGTCACATAAAGCATCATTGTTAGTGTGCTTGTAGGCTTTCGTAACTGTCAGATAGTGTAAATTCAATAATATAATTAGTATTAATTAATTTAATAATATTGGGTTGTCCGGAAAATAATGCAGGATTTTGGTATTAAACAAAAAAAAAGAAACTAGTTACTTTAAAGCAATGTTCTTTAATCAAAATANACAAATGAGTAATCCTGTAAACGTAAACAGAATATTTTATATAGATTTTTTTTAATGAAAACTTAAAATCCTGCATTATTTTCCGGACAACCCAATATAATTTCTATTTTCTATAAAAGAATTGATACAACTCACTATTATGTTCACGTCAATGGTTGAGAGTACATTTTCTATTTTCCTTTTTACGTTAATCTGCTCGAGTTTGTTCATCTGGGCTAAATCGGCCATTCTGAAACGTGGCATCTATAAATAGACAGATTTGCTAAACCATTCAATAGATCAGTAGAATCCCACTTCATTGCCAGGCCGACAGTGAAATATCGGCAATACTGCCTTCATTTGAATATTAGACCCCTCCTGGCGACCCCGATACGCGGTTCTCAATACTACAATGCATTCGTCGAAAACAATAATTCAAATCGTTCTCAACAAGATAAAATGGTTTGCAATCTGTAAAACAATCTGATGACGGTTGAAGAACCATTTTTATAGTGTTGATGTGTATTCTGTTTGTAAATTATAGCATGTATTTGTAAATTTTATTAATAAACACAATAACGACTGTTGCAGGTTTCCTAAACGCAAACACAGACCCATACCTGCGTTCCCCGTCGAATTACGGCCTCATGGACCAGATCGCCGCTCTCCACTGGCTGCAAGAGAACATCGTCTACTTCGGCGGAGATCCAGGAAATGTCACCCTCATGGGTCAAGGAACAGGAGCTGCTTGCGTCCACTTCCTAATGACCAGCAGCGCCGTACCCGAAGGTAAATATATTTTCTCATTACTTGCCCTTTTTCCGGTTTACATCAACTTCTACCATCTAAAATGGTATTTTGACAATAAGAAACACATAAATGAGTTAATATTTTATTTGTTTTAACAAAAACTGATTCAAAACAAAATTGCAACTACAACAAGGTCTGTGGTTCCATGCAACATCGGGCGATGTACTACGGTAGTCATTGTAAATATAAAACCAAGCATTAATAAATTAATTAAATAAATAAATTTAAAAAATATAGCTTTTGATTAAATTCGTTTTTATCTGTCAAAAATGATAATTGAACTGTTCAACATAGATCCTCCTTATATTTAATATTAAATAATTTACCAAATTTTTGTAAATTTCCCCAATGAAATAATCTTCCATCCCTTCAATTGGGCATTTCTCTGTAAATTGGTACAAATCTTTTTTCCACAAAGCCGAAAAAATTATGTTTTTCATTTCAAGTATTTTATTTATTTTACGTTTGACTATTCATCGCAAAAATCCTTCGACACCTTTCTAAAAATGCTGTAGTTTTCCTTACCTACCTTCACAATTCTGTACTTAGAACCATATACTTCCCATCCCAATGGAATTTTTCACTCATCTGAATGATTTCAAAGCCGAAACAACTTCATAACCGTCCATCATTTTATCGTCCAACCAGTCGGTTGCCTATAATGGGCAAATCCTAGAAAAACTCCCGCTTAAACACATTCCCACTCATGGCTGCTCTGAAAGCTTAAGGGAGTCTTTTCTACAAACTTACCCTAAAATCTTACCTATCCGACGGATACTTGAAAATCATTAGTGGCCACTACCGATCTATCAGCCAAGTATGGTACAGATGGAAGGGTTCTACACGGAAGTGCCCATTTTCTACACTCGGTCATACGTAAGCTTTTTGAAACTATCCTTACTACAATGACGATATCGCCCTACTTTGCAGTCATAAGGATCCTGCCTTTCAGCCAGAAACCTACAAACTCATGTTGCATCAAGAGTTGATTCAATCAGTGCAAAACAACATTAAACACACGAAATGTGACATGTCACATTCTATCTACGAGTAACAGCCACTCCCATCTACCACAACCGACAAGCTACAAAATCGCTTATGACAAGAGACTTTCGGCGACAGGATAATCGTTTGTGAAATTTTTTGTAGCTATTTTTGTCTTCTTCCAGTACATATTGGGTATTAAAGTAGTTGTTGATAAGATTGAAGGCATATTCTTAAAAACCAATTCCATTAACGATGGTTGATTGGATGTTAAGATTGGATACTTTTGAGATTAGAACGTTTGGCTGCACTCCACTCGATGATGATTGTTCAAATTGGTCTCAAAACAGTAATATAAATTAATCGTTTTTTTTACAGAGTTAGTTTTGTTGTGTTTTTCAGCGTAACTTCAAAGAGTCTGAAGCTTAGATCTTATTTTTCCATTACGTTTTGGGCTCCAGTTTAGTGCTTAATCTGGAGGGATGGAGGTACTATTTTGTAACTAGAATAAAGCAATGATTATCAGGGTGAAAGTTGAAGTGAAAGCTCAAGGATAGTGACATAGTTTGCCAGATTTCTGGTTGTGACGAAAAGATCTTTATGAGGGCAAAAGTTAGCTGTGTTTTCCACATAAATTGTAATGATTGTTTTAGAAAGCGTAGGAATGTGTGAGATGAATTTTGTGTTCTAAGATACTTTCTGAAAAAAGGTGAAACTATCTATCAGTAAAGCAGGATTTTATGATCAGGTAGAATATAAAAAAAATCTCTGAATCTTTGATACTTAAAGTTAGAAGATCTTTGGGTTATAAGGACTGAATACGTTGTCCAAAACGATTTTAGATTGGTGATGCAAATGAGTCGTTTGTTCATTTTGTCTGTTTTGATTGTTTGTCCAGCAATCTTTTAAGAAGTTTAAAATGTGTCGATAACTCTTGATTTAGATTCGTGTGTGTTTGTGACATGTAAGTCGTTTGTCAATGTATATACAAAATTAGAGGGTAGTACATTCACTGGGATGGAACTACTACTTTGACTATATGGGAGAAGTATCCTTTGTACGGGAAAAGTTTCAGGTTCACATTTATGTGCGGTTTTTTCGTTTTCTTTTGCTGCTTAAGAGATGTGCTGTGTGTATGCAGGTTTCTGGTTGTTTGCTCTTGGGACAATGGACTTTATTGCCTTGACATTTGAACAGAACGAAAATAATAAAAAAATAAATCTCACCTGTCCTTCGATCCTTTCTTCACCGAAGAGAGTTCCCGGGCCGATAGAGGATCCGAGAGAAAAGATGGTTTGGAAAAAAAGAAAACCCTTATCTCGCCGTGGAGGCAACCATCACGCCAAGGAACAGTTCCATCGACGAAAATACGAGTTATACCCCTGGTGAGACCTCGATCTCGAGAACGTGAATGTCACGATATCCCGTAACCACGAAGAAATTTTATCACAGACAGTCAATTTTACAAAATAATCAATGTGTTCACCATGGCTGTTCGGGGAAAATTGGACTGGTTCGAATAAGAGTTTAAAATATCTCTGGACCGAGAGACCGATAGTACAAAGTAAAATTGGGAACAAACACTGATTAAGATGAAAAAATCTATATAAGTTAATGTGTGGTGATTAGTGAACGTTAGTCGATGATTATTCAGAAATCGTGAGATGCGGTCTGGTGTGATGTAGGTTCAGAAAAACATTTTGTTTATACACGTCACGTTGTTACGACACGCAAGAAGGGCACATTTACACAGAACACAAACACTTTGAGCCCTGAAGATGATCTCAATGAAGATCGAAACGTTGGCACGATAAACAAAATGTTTTTCTGAACCCTACCCCACACAAGACCGCATCTCACGATTTCTGAATAATCTTCGACTAACGGTCACTAATCACTACACATATAGAATCCAAATTTGAATTTAAACTAAAGTATGTAATTTTTAAAAAGATTGAAACTGTTATAGTGATAAAACAAATTAATAATCTGCTTATACAGCAGATTTCAATTTTAACTTGCGTTTACTAAATCTGAGATTAGCAACATATAACGTACACATGTTAATATATTTTTATTTTCAAAGGAATTCAATTATATTAGAAATTCCTATTTAGATTTGAAATAGGACATTAAAATAGAAGCGATATTATTAAGTTTGTTGATACGACGTCCTTCAATTTTCAATAAAATAACTATAGATCGTATAAAGCGTAATACACGTCAAATTATTAGTTATAACTGGATGAAATTCCATCAACTGAAATTAATTCACAATTGTAAATTCTTGTAAAGTGCATAAGCAGAGGTCATGTTAAGAATGTTGGTTTGTAAAGTTGACCAGACAACAATTCCCACCTTTCTTAATCACCATCAATCAATTCACTTCTTATTGATGCCGTTGTGTATTTTGGAGCGCCATTACTTGGAGGCCAATTTGTCTTCCTTCCATTATGTGTACACGACTAAGTTTGTACCACTCCTTCAAATTGGTTATTAACATTCGTGTTCAAATCAATTTCAATTTTTTCTTTCCTATTTACACATGATGACCCTCAAGCAACGTCCTATTGATTTCTGGGTAATAATCTATATCGGTGTCATTCTAGGTACGGAGAATGTTTTTAAAAATTGTTAAATTTTTAATTAAATCGTGTGAAATTTTTAACATTTAAATCCGAATTATAATACAAATTTTATAAATTGCAATACAAACGTAGGCAAAATACTAATTAATATTAATATATTTAATACTAATATATAATACTAAATATATATATATTTCTTAAAGAGTTTCACTTTCGTAATATGTAATTGTAAACATTAAACAACTCATTGAACAGAGAAATAATGCATAAAAAAGTCACTTGAATTAAGAGACACCACGCACGCAGAGAGTGGATATGCGGACCAGGATAATCAGTAACGACCAAATTTCAGCTACCTCACCCCGCTGAACACACAGAAAGACTACTCGTTAGAACAAATAGAGTTACTTGCAAATCCTGCCCAATTCTAACATCGATTTACCGATATCTAGAATGTCATTTTCAAATTTGACATAAAACAAAATCTCGAAAATAATCATTACCTTTAATAAATCATACTGCTTGTAATTTCTAAAAGATATTTTGTAATACGTACAAAATAATTCGGTTTAATCTGCACATCAAATTTAGATACTGCCGAGAGTAAATAGTTGCTTTTATTCGTGAAGACCAAAAGAAAAATTAATTTTTTTCATGAATTCCGAATCTTCAAAAGTTTTAACCAATTTTTCGGTGACAAGAAGAATGAATATTATTCAATTATATCGACAAAGCCCGCTATTGTTTATCACTTTTGAGTTGTATTCTTATAAAATGTACATATAAACTTTACAAAATTATCACTAATAATCCAGATTTAAACTGTTGTAAAATCTGTCAAGTAATCATAACTTGTGAGATTAACTCACTGGATATGTGGGAGGGATAAATCTGCAATATGGTCGCTTCCAATCATTTCGCCATGGCTATCCTCGCCGTTTTCGTCTGTTAGACGTGTGTCGGTTTTCACCACAACCAGTGATGTGTCACTGTTAAAAATAGGGTGAGACAGACGCTAATCTGGCACTGAGGACGGTGAAAAGCCGAAAGGCGACAGACAGAGAAAAAAAAACAGGAGGATTTGAAAACCATAATGACTGAAAACCATAGGAACTTTGAAAAAATATATATTAAATTTCATTGAAACGAAAAAATATATATTAAATTTCATTGAAACGTACTAGAAATGTATCGTAATTGTGCCTGAGAATATTGACGCTCGTCGAGCGTAAAACGTAAATGAAGCATTATGAGCAATATATATTTTTTTGCTTAATTTTTTGTCCAATATCTGATTGAATTTGGTGGTAGGGAGCTACACCAAAATAGTTTCTTTTTTGTTTAATTTAAATATACTTGTTGCTAGAAACAGGTTTGTTCGTACTTTGATATTACCTGCTTTAATTA